CTCTGTAAATTAGTGTTCGGGCTGTTGAATGTGGTTCAATGTGGTTAAGGCTCTCTTTTCTCAAGGGTGCTTGTATTTTTTGATAAACTTGTGTGCTGAGGTATCTCAAGTTAGACACTCAGAACTGAAACATCCTAAATCTAATCAGGTTGCAAACACTGGCCCCAGACTGCTTGCTATCCAAGCCAGGAAGCAGCTATTTATTTTCTCTAAATTAATCCCAGCTCAGCAAGACACTTAAGCACGCATCAAACTTTATAAAGACAGAGTGGGTTTCCCCCTCACTTAAATAATGCAGATGCAAATGCTCTGCTGAATCAGGTTTATAAAAATCCAACAGCAGTCAGTAATAAATAGTGTGACATACAAGAGCAATCTCTGCTCTGAAGCCAGGAGGTTGGAGCACACTGCTGAGATCCGTAATGCAGTGTCCTTGCTAGTGCTGTGGGATTGTCTCCGTTTCCCCACATCCCCCTCTATTCCCCGGGCCAAGAGCCACACACACACTCCTCCTCCTCTCGCTGTCTGGGAATAAGACATGTCTCTAAATAGAAGTTATCTATTATGCAAGATTTATCTTGGGTTTCCCTGCCCCTCTCTTCTAACTGTGCATTCAAGATGAAAATACTGTCAGCTCCTAGGCTGAGTGTCTGAAGCAGGAGGGGCAGAAGCAGAGGTGGTTTATTTGCCAGACCAGAAGGCTTTTCTCCTGCAGCAGCTTTCTATTAAATTGGTTTTCTTTCTATCAGGATAAAAGAGCAAATGGAGGCTTCATTGAAGTTGGGAACCTGCCCCTGCTAATAGTATGAAGCATGCCAACGATGAAGGCAAAACTGGTCTCTGCTAAAGCTGGTCAGCTCTGATAGACTAGGAAAGAGTCAGAGAGACAAGAATCTCTCTGTTTGCCTGAGTGAAAACTTGCATATCTAACTCCTTCTGCTTAGCAGCCCTCTTCCCACACTGGCACCTAAACTCTGCAGGGACTTTGCCTTAAAGGAAAAAAATGTAATAATAATAACAATAATAATAATAATAATAATAATAATAATAATAATAATAATAATAATAATAATAATAATGTTCCCAGAGGTACCTGGGTGATGTCCCTCCACATCACATCTTGTCAGGAGTGAGTATTTGCCATCTATTTTACCACTACATGCAACAAGCACCTGAAAATCAGGCATTCTTCTGCCTGTGCTGCCTTGGGGTCTCCACATTATGTATGTTGTGTTCAACACACGTGGACAAGATGGGCTTTTGCAGAAAAGTCAGCCAGAAGCATCAGTTTTGTTGAGGATACTAAGGGACATCCTCCCTTCCCACTGCTGAATTCATCTGTTCAGGATCTCATCTGCACGAACAATAATCTGTGCCCAGAAAGAAGACATCCAGTACTGCTTGTCAGGTTTTTTATTTGGAGGGCAGGAAGAGCTGGGGAGATACTTCTGGGTGAAGGTTCAAGGTGAAAGATAGTGGAGCACAAGAAAAATAGCCTCCTTGTAGCCTTGGATATGGCCTTCAAAAAGGCATGACTTCATGCACATACAGGTCCTGTGGAGGGTCTGGCCCTGACTAATGTACAATACATAAGTGATACTTAGTGGGTGAAGGGAAAAAAATCAAAACAGCCCCCTAATATTAGCCAATTTAATAGCTTTAGGAGATAGACCATCAGCATCAGGAAAGATGGGGCCGTGGAGAGATTCTCCAGGGCAGAGCAGAGTTTTTATCAGAGTAAATCTGGATTAATTCAGACATTTTTTGTGCATACTCATCCCAGAGAAACACACCAGTTTGTCTACGTACAGATAACTATTTTTTCCTTCACTTTGGGTAAGCCCTTCACAGATCCCCACCATTTGATCTTGAAGGTACAACTTTGTAAAGAAGTTGCAGTGGGAGGTGGTTATCCTCCAGTCTGGGTGGAATCTGTCACTGTTGTCATTTTAAAAGGCGATTGTGAGAAGGCATCTCACCCAAGCTGCAAGAAACAGCATCTTAATCTTGAAACTCTTTCTGTTCTGCAGGATTATTTTCATGGGAGTCAGAGGTAAGAAACACCCTCTCCACTGCTGCTCCTCGGGTAGTGGTAAAATGCTCTCCAAATGTAAGCAAGGTAATTTCTCAGTGTCTTTGCTAGGTTTAAAAAATGAAAATTAAAGCATTATTAGGGGCTAAGGGTCAGGCATATACCCAGCCAACTAGCTGGCAATGACTCCACCTGGAACAAAGAGAATCCAAAATAAACTTTTTTAATGAGAAGGATGGCAAAAAGCCAAGGAGAAGTTGCAAAGGACACCTCATTAAAGAAATTGATAAGACTAAGTCAGGTCAATCTGTTTAAGTAACTCAATGGCTTCAGTCAGATAGGAATAGATCTGTTTAATTTGCCTTCTGAAAAGCGGCAGCACAGTGGGAGCGGAGGAGGAGACCTCATAGGGAGCCATAAGCTTTCCATAGAAGTTGGTAATCATGCGGGAAGTCGCATCTGTGGTTTACTCACTTGGAAGAGAGACATCTCACACAAAGTGAGCTGAAACAGTTGTAGGCAGCGAGAGCAGCCGCACACGAGGAGCGGATCTGCATTTGGCAGCATGTGCTAATACCGTGGGATCTTCCCTGTACAGCCACAGCCTGTACAGGAAACACAGAGCTAACCAAAAGAGCCGGTCTGGGAAATGCAAGAAAAATAAATAAATTTAAACTGAGCCAGAACCTTTATTTTTATACCTTTACAGCACCAGGAGAGCTTCAGCGTAAAAAAACAAACTGATTTTCTGCTTGAACAAAAAGCTCAGAATATGGTTCTCATTTTGAAAGTCAAGCCCAGGGGCCCCAAACGGGAAAATAAATTCTTGCACTTTGAAAAGATTGCACTGAACTAAGCAGCACTGCCTGGCCTCCATCAGGATGTCCGCTCTGCTTATGCTCACCCATGCTGACGGCGGGGTTATCACTTACTTCAGGATTTCCATGATGCTGAGAACAACACAGCCACCAGTGTGCTCTGCATCCAGCCTGGAAACTGCCAGCAGCCAAACAGCATCTTGCTAATGATTGCTGCTCACAGGGCACTGTATCAACAATAATTAGCAAACCGCTGCTAAGCTCAGAGACCTACTTGCAGGTATCTGAGTGACCTCACTGATACGGCTTCGGGGCTTATTTCATCATTGAGCAGAAAAATGTCTTTAAATAATTGCATGGTTTGGTAATAGGTAAATAAGAATTTTGCTTCAAAACAATTAAAATAAACCCAAAGCTGGTTTTATTGGGCAGATCTCAGCAGCAACCCAGTAGGAGGTTTTGTCATGCTTGGACTTAATCTACCTTTTAGAGATGATGCATAATAAATCATCATAATGGTTAAGAGCCAGACACAGCGTAAATGGAGTCCCTATCACCTAGGCTTTAAGCAAACATTATGCTCTATAATGTAGGAGTAAGTATGTCTCTCACAGGCTTGTGTTCTTTACAGGTATACTCCGAGGGGTTTGGTGCATGTCAGCAGCCCCAACCATTAAATACCTGTAGTGGTTCAGGCCCTGCTGGGACCGGAGACCACGTTGCCGTTATCCCTCCCCCACCCTCAGCCAGTCAGGGTTGGAAGTTAAGCACAAACCCTGGAGTTGAAATAAGGAAAGATTTAATACAACAGTGTAATAAACAATCTGAACAACAACAACAGCAATAACAACAACAATAAACAGTAATAACAATAAACAAGACAAAATATATACAGAGAAATACCGCAATGGACACGGCCAGCACGCTGCGCGTGCTCCCCGCGACCAAAGCCACAAAGGAAAGCTTCCCGCGCTGCTCCACCGGACCGGTTAGAGATCCCTTCCCCCTGCTGGGGAAACTTAACCCTATCCTAGCTGAACCAGGGCAATACCCTTCACTCGGGCCTCAGAAATCATGAGATTTTGAATTCTTGGTCTCAGCCCTGGGAATCACACCTCAAAGATTCTCCTGCTAATAGGAATGTGAGAAAGCAACTTAAAACATGAAGCGAGGGATTCTCACATGCCCATAATGGTGTTTCGGTGAAACACCATTAAGATAACCATGACAATATCATGAATCTTATCAACACAGCAATATTCTACAAGACTAAAACCTGCATCTCCAATGTCAAAGTGAAACCCATTGTCTGGAACTTAGATTATTCTTTATCTTGGGAAAAGGTACTACATCACAACTGAAGGCTCTCCTGATTCTCCTAGAGGGGCTATGTTAGGCGTGTATTTTATCAGGGATGTGGGGATCCCAGGGGTCCTGGACACTTCTTGATGCACCAACAGCACCTGCCCTACTCATGGCATAGAATCACAGAAGCATAGAATGGTTTTGATTGGAAGGGACCTTTAAGATCATCTAGTTCCCACCTCCCTGTGGTGGGAGGCAGGGACGCCTTCTACTAGACCAGGTTGCTCAAAGCCCCGTCCAACCTGGCCTTGAACACATAACAAGGAGCGTCCAGTACCCCAGCACACACATAAATGGGATGAAAGGAGGCAAACCCAGCAGATACACAGGTTGGAGGGATGCATATTTTAGCCAGGATTTTGGTTAGATGATTACAATAGACCATTAAGGTGTTCTCTAGTTGGATATATTGTTCACTCACAAAAGAAAGCACACAGGGCTGAGTACCTGCCAAGCCTGTACAGAGCAGCTGAGGCAAACTGGAGGAAAAAAAAAAAAGCCACTGTGAAATCGGAAGGAAGACACAGACACTTATTTTCTCTTACACCTGCAAAACCAAAGCTAACTTCTCTTTTCCCACAATGGAAAACCTGCAAATGCAGATCTTTGGGACAAAACCACTCCCCACACTGTGAATACTTAAAGTGAATGTTTAAAAATCCCATCCCCATCCCAAACTTAATTTCCTGAAGTTGAGTATATTTTGATCCACCTTCTCCTAGCAATTGCAGTTCCTCTTCTAGGGGATGTGAATGATAAAGCAAAGAGAAGGGAGAAAACCAAACCTGCCAAATGCTCACGTCCCCAAGACAACCAACTCCAAGCAGGTGGACACAGCTGAAATCACTTGCGTCTCAAGGGTGGCGAGAGATGGGCGATCTGGATCTGCAGAGAGCTTGGGTTAGTCAGATTACTTTTTCAGGGCTTTGTGCCAGAACGAAGCAGAACGAAACTGAGATAAACCCCTGAAAGAATGCCCCATACAGCAGGGGAACATCCAGATGCTTCCTGTGCATGAGATTTCAGGGTAGCATAAGATATATATCAGGACACAGGGTCAGCATGGTCAGCAGCAGCAGGTCAGAAGGGAAAACAAATTTAGAATATGACAATGCAAAAGCAGGGCTGCAGGGCAAGCGCTTTGTGCTGGGAAGCTGTCACTCCCTGAGGTCTGGGATTGAGAAACGGCAGCAGCCAGAGCACGGGAGAGACATCCCAGTGCAAAGCTGCACACGGGAAGACAGTAATTTGGGAGACTGTGCGAAACCAGATATTCATGAATGGTTCAGCACAAAACTTAAATATAAGGAAAGTATCACTGTGAAGCAGACTTGGCATTCCCAGCAACATGAAATGAAACTTTTGATTTAAAAGCTACCAAAACCTAAAAAAAAAAATTAGAACTAAAAAATCAGCCTGTTGATTTTTAAAAATCAGTAAAGTTTTGTTTGTTTGGTTTTTTCTGGAATCATATGTATCGTGAAAGTCTAAGGATCATCCATCGCAGTCATTTTAGACCTCAAAAGAACTGACCACACTTAGTTGTTTGGTTTTGGTTTTAACATAGTTCCTTAAACATCCAAAATTAGGTAATTAAGGAAATAGTGCCTCTAGCAGACATTTGGGCTTTCTGTGGTCAGACTTTCCAGTTACATCATGTGCTCTTAAGCAACAATTTTCCTTGCCTCCAAGTATTTCAGTGTCTCAGAGGATTTTAGATCACATCATATCTAAGGTGATAGCTGTCCAGCTCGTCGCAAATACTCAAAATATGAGTTGAACACAGAGACACACAGAGTGAAGCATCAAGGGCAGAGGCATGATGCAGAATTACAATCCAAAATCTTCTGAACAAAGATCATGTTTTCACATCCCACAGCTGCATTTGCAAGGCAGTGGTCTTTTTACTTCTCTACAGAATGACCAATATTTTTAGCTTTATTCTTTTACATATTTAGTTAGCAGCAGAGAACAGAAATTACATTTCTCTACTAAGAAATTTCACTTCTGCATTCCCTCATCCCTTCCTAAGAAAAGCCAACAAAACCACTTTTTTTGCAGTGACAGTGAATACGTGTAAGAGCAATAGACTATCAAATTAAAGACAAACGTGTGTTATAGTATCAACAGTGACTTGCATACACAGCAGAGCTACCCTACTGAAGATAGCTCTCACGAATCCTCTGCTGCAAAACATCAGGCAAAATCATCTGAGCAGTGTAAACAAAGGGAAACTGCCAGACAAATAACAACTGATCAGATATTTGCACAGGAGAAATTCCATCCCCAGGTTATCGCCATCAATTGGTGCTTCAGAAAACCACCAGAAAGTTGCTCTTTAAGAGAGGAGAAGCCATAGCCTCCTCAGCCCTTTGGCTGAGCAATACAGCCCAAAGGATGAGATACAGTATCTGGCACATCAGAAACCGTGCTTTTCTGCCTTGCAGCACAGCGGCAAGTTTCAGGGTCAGCCAGACTTTGAGAAGCAGCAACGCCTCACCGGAACATAACTGTTGCTATTCTTTCATTTCAGAAACAAAATGCTAACCTTTGCCCAGTGGCAGAGGGCTCACAGCATCCTTTCAAGCAGGGGACAAGGCCAAGTATTAAATACTTGAGTAAGTTGTTTTCTCATGTGGAAAACAAACACTTTGCAGAAGGTTTCACTCACTGCATGTGTGCGCACCTGTGATCAGGTCAGTCTGGATCTCTCATCTATGAGAGGGTACAGGGGGCATATGCAGGCAGAAGACACCAGCTGAGTTAGTGTTCAGCTAAGCCATGCATCTTAGCGTGATTGATTATTTGGGATTTGACTCTCTATATAATAAGCTTTTATGAAAAAGAGTCTGGGTCCTGGGATCTGCAGGGCAGCTCTGAGTCAATCAGGCCAGTAATGGTTTTTTCCTTCCTATGGAAAAAGGAGCAGTTCCTATTAATTTTGGACCTTAAAGAAGCTTCTCCATCTCTTTCACACTCTTCCACAGCAACAACACCTAAGTGCTGGATGCTTTTTCAATAGATGACACCAAAATACAGTGGGGTTTTTTTTGTTTTGTTTTGTTTGGGTTTTTTTTTTGGGTTGTTGTTGGGTTTTTTTTAAATGGCATAAAATAAGCAGGCAGGCACAGCTCTGACTGTCTTTCAGTAAGCTGCAGACAACTCAGCACTGTTTGGGCTCTGAAAGCCTCCCATCAACTTACCTGACAGACACAGCCCTAGGGCTTCAATTCTCCACAGAAGAAGAAAACCACAAAACCAGTATTAGCTCCCTCAGTTTAGATGCCCCAGCCTTTACCCTCTGGTACTTGCATCCCTAGCAAAGAGGTTAATGGGATGTCACTCAGCCATGCTGGGGAAAGACCCATCTGATCTGTCACACCTCAACACCTGAGCAAGTCACCAAGGCTTCTTTAACTGTCACAGGGATGGTCCCACCTCCAGAGCCTATTCTTTTGATGTTTCCTCTAAAATGGGACAAATCACATGCTAAAATACCTATTTCTCTTTGCAGTCTACAAAAAGAGGACAGATAACCAACTCTGACAGCAGTGTATGCATTGCAGATGCTTGTACTTGGTTGGATGGATCCCATCCTGATCTCCTGCACTCTAAGCAAATTCCCAATAGAGGAAAATTCTCCCTGCTCCAGAAGGAGCATGAACTGCTTCTCCCCTCCCCACACCTGTCCTTCATGCACTCCCTTTCATTTCATAAGGTGAGCAGTTTTCTTCCAATTAACAGAAACTAAAGTATTCTTAAAAGAAAATGAAGCTCCAATTCCCTTGGCAACACCAGAGAACGTACTCCCTTCTGCAAGGTCATTTTTAAATTATGAAGACGCAGAGGCATATTATTCCCAGTATTGATTGTAGCTCTGTCAGCTGGCAGCACTGGGAGGAGAGACGTGGAATGGGAGTCTTGCCCATGAGAGCCACACACGTGTGAGACCTGGAGAGAGACATAGAAACTAAGCCCTACGCTCAAAAATAAAGTAAATGTTATCTTGTTTCCCGGAAACTGTAGGTCACCAGTGCTCAGCCTGTGATTATACAGTAAAGGATCAATATTGTCACTGAAGCCCATCTTTTCAAAGCAGTGCCTATAGCAGCACTGCAGGTAGACGGGCCAAGTGTTACCAGATGTCATCAGAAAGTGCAGTTGAGAGAATAATAATTCAGGCTTGTATCAGCAGAATGCATTACAGACATATTCTGGATTTTTCATAAATAACAGACTTCAGTCAGCCAGAAGTGGTTTTCCTTGATCAAGGATGGATTGACAGATACTTGTGTGTGCATCTCTCTCTCTCTTCACACCTTCTCCAAGAGGTACCTTGTGTAGGGAACATCTGCGCTCAGCTTGCCCAAATGCTCCATCTAAACTTGCTTCTATTTTTCTTTCCTGTACATTAGAAGGCAAGAGAGGTGCTCCCATTTTTCTTGTTGTAGTTTGGGACCTCACAATATAGACTTTGCTAGTTTTTATTATTCCCACATGTGGCATAGTTCC